AGTAAAAGAAAACAAATTGTGTAAAAATATACTGAAACACTCAACATGTGAACAAATAAATGCAAGTCACTGATATTGAATGCCTCGATGTCTAGTTTTGTTTTCAGATAGAAGCACATAATTTGTTCCCAGTAACTGGTAAAGCCCCAACTTTGGATTTTGTATGCAAAATGAAATTACTTACTATTTATCAAAATCTGAAGACATCTGTAGCAGCGCTTCAAGCCTATAACTTTAATATTATTGTAGAAAATGTTACTGAGAATGAAGGTTTCTATGTTAATTTGCTGTTTGTCTCAAGGCCAAGTACAGATATCCTTACATGTTTCTGAAGTGTCTCCCAAAAACTGCTCCTCTTGAGGCAAATGTTAGAGTCTAATATTGTGCAGCCATTTAGCGCTAAAATTCTAATTGAGTATCTTACACGACTGGGCTTTCCATAATGTGCCCTATGCCTCTGACCTCATCTTTTACATCGCTCCTCACTTATTTCCCAGTTGTCACACTGGGCTTATTTCTGCTCTTCAAAAGTACTGAGCATGTTCTCACCTCCGGGCTATTTTAAGCACACTGCTCCCAATACCTTTCATGGTTTCTTCTTGATATCAAATAAGTCTGAGTTCAAATGTCACTTTCTCAAAAGGGCTTTACTATCTGAAAAATAATCCTTCTATTAAAGCCCCCATTTAACTATCATATCTTAATATTATTTTTCCCTTTACTCAGTGCTTACATATTACTGGGCTTATTTTTTCATTTACAGGTTTAATATCTATATCTCCCCATGGATTGTACATGCCACAAAGTCAGACATTTTATATTGTTCTCTGTGGTCTCCCCAGTATTTGAAACAAATTTTGGCACATCAAGATTCAGAATGGTGTGCTGTGGCTGAGTTGCCTTGAGCTTACAAGACAAGTTTGCACATTTCTCTGTAATTCTGCAATCAGCACTACATTGATAGTTCAAAATTGGCCAGTGGTGGGAGCATTTTCACCACAGAATCAGCCAAGACTACAAATAAAGGTTCCCTGCCTCCCTTAGAATGTCTGGGATGAAGAAGGGATGGTTAATGGGTCTAAACATATAGTTGATAAAATGAACAAAAATTGGGAGCACAACAAAGTGACTGTAATTAACAATACATTCAGGTATGTTTTAAAATAAGGCAGTACAATTGGAATGTTCATAACACAGTTGATATTTATTAATCTGTGTATGACAATGAAACTCTTAACAAATTTACCTTGATGCAGCTAAGATCTGAAAGCAGGAAAATAAATATGAGACGAAGCTTCAGCCTTTTGGTATGCAGTTTAATAAAGACAGCAAGAAAAAAAAAAGAAAGAAAGAAAAGAGAAGAAACAAAAGGTTGTTACTAAAAGGTGTTGATACTACCTAGGAAAGATCAGCAGAGGAAGTCATTGGGAAATGATCCATATTGCACGTGGTATTCAGGTTTTACAAACGAGAATAAACATGGCCATTTATTTTTTTCTATTTCGAAAAATGTATTATAATGTTTAGGGTTATACAATTCTAACTTAAATAGGCAAGTTTTAGACTATTGTCTCTTTTAATATGTAGATGAGGCAAGGTGGCAACTTGTAATGAACTTGACTCTGAAGCAGCTTTCCAGGTGATACTGACTGAAGTACAGACCAGTGTAAAAGTGCAGGAAGGAGCTGATGAAGTGAAAGAAGAAAGTGAGGATGGCACAGAAATTGTAAAGATTCCAAAGAAAAGGATATCTAGTATCTGACAATGCAGTTGATGTCATTTGCATGGCCAGCATTGAGAGTGCTTCCTCTGTATACATTTGTGATATGAATAAGAATCAGACCCAGATTGACTCCTTTTTTCAGAAAGATGATTCAACCATAATAAAACAGTAAATGTATTGATTTATTTTGTCTGATACTATATGTCTATGATTTTATTCTTTTATGTATGATTGTGTATAATATTAGCTAACAAAAGCTGTATGAGGAAGTAATGTATATGTAGGTGTCAGTACAGTAGGCCTCGTTCCTTATATTGACCACCTCTGCATGGTGAACAGTTTGTGACAGTCCCTTGCGTAGTCAAGGTACAGAGGCTACCGAACCAACCCATTCAGTATAAATCCCTGTCTCACATTTTCCCCTTCAACAGTTTTGGTTTCTAATGAAGACTACACTTCTCAGGCTGCTGGGTGACCACCCAGTAGGCTGCAATCACTTATAAAAATTACAGCCCTTCTCTCCAAACTTATGAACCTCGAGATTCTTTTTTTTTTTTGCAGTTTTTGGCCAGGGCCAGGTTTAAACTCGCCACCCCCAGTATATGGGGCCAGCACCCTACACCTTGAGCCATAGGCGCTGCCCCTGAACCTTGATATTCTTTGCCAACAGTTGTAACATACAATATATTATGATATTATATTGTATACCTGTGTGTGTGGTAGAGTTCTACAAAGCAGAGGGAAAGCATTCTGTAAATTTCTAATTAAATCTCAGCCCTTAATGCAACTGTGTCTGAGATTTCCGTTCTTCACCCCTGCTTCTCCAAAGACTTTTCTCTCTTTCCTTTGTCCCTGGCCACTTTATTTTCAATCTATTTCTCTGAAACCATGTGAGGCCGTGGCACACTGCTGACATTACTCCAGATGAGTTCATCTTGGTTTCTTCACCTATGAACCCATCAAAACATATATGCAACCATCTGATAATTTTTCTCATGCCATTTTAAAATTCAACCTTTCTTCCCCTACTGTCCTCATCCCAGGCAACATTTGGGCTGATTAGATAATATCACATAATTTTTTTTTTCTTAGAGTTTTACATAAACACAATGAAAAAATTATATATTATTTGTTGATTGTTTTTTTAAATACTTGAGAATAATTTTTAGAATCATTGATAATTCATGTAACAATAGATGATTCAACTTTTATTGCTGAGTCATATTCCTTTTTGTGGCCATGCCATAGTTATGTATTCACGTATTGATGGGCATGAGAATTCTTTCCAGTTTGAAGCTATCACAAATAAAACTACTGTAAACCTGTAGGTCAAACTTTGTCTTGACATGTGTATCCACTCTTCATGGGTAACATGGTAAGCATATTATTAACATCTGGAGAATGTAAGAAGCAACGTTTTAAAGTGTTTGCATAATTTTACCTCAAACCAGTCATTTGTCCAGTTTTTCCACATCTTCATTTATGATATATTTGTGTGTGATATATATAAAACATCTGCACAAATCATCTTTCTATTTTAAAATTTGAGTTGACTTCCTTTCACATAAATTACAAAAATTTGTCTATATTGTAGGCAAAATCCATGTCAAATATATGTTTTGAATGTATTTTTAATTTGATAATTCTAGTTTATTGCTTATTTTTTATTGTAGTTCATGCATTTGAGGGTTGTATTTAAGTGATCTTGGAAAACCACCATCACTGACATTCTTTTCACTATTCGCTTTACAAATTCCTGGAGTTCTAGCATCTTGTGCTTAGTTCTGTGATCTACTTTAAGCTCATTTTTCTGTGTACGATGTACAATGAGGATGAAGGTCTTCATTGTTTATCTACCCAAACTCTTAGCACTTTCTGTTAAATAACTTTTTGTAAATGAATGATTTGACTCCTTTGATGAAAATGAATTGACTACACAGTATCAGTCTATTTAACAACTTTCTATTTTACTTATTAATCTATATGTTTACCTTTTTGATAACAACGTGCTGTCATCATTAATGTATCTTTACATTAAGATTTAAAATTAGGTGGTGCAAATCCTCTGACTTTGTTCCTTTCTTTCAATGCTGTTTTGACTGTGTTAGCTCTTTGTATATTTTATGATGTTTAAAAACACCTTGTTAATCTCTTTCAATATTGTTATAAAATATTGGTTGAAGTTGCCTTGAATCATCACTAATTGACATAATAGACATCTTAAAAATAAGGAATTTTATGAACCATAAATATGACATGCAACTTCATTGACTTGGGTCTTCTTTATCAGCAAGTGAATAAAATATGATAGACATATTTTCAAATTTATTTTTAATGACAACCTTTTAGAAAAGATTTACTGAATAATTATAAAGCTAACAAAAAGCTCCTATATGTTTTATATCTCGTTTGTTTTATTATTAATTTCACTCAAAATTTATTCTTTGATCCATGACCTATTTAAAAGTATGTTGCTTAATCTCCAGATATTTTGTGACTTTTTTCAGCTGTTTTTCTTTTATTGATGTCTAGCTTAATTTTACTGTGGTCTGAGAGCATATACTGTAAGATTTCAGTCCTTTTAAATTGGTTTAGGTGTGTTTTATAGCCCTGATGTGGTCTGTCTTGGTAAATGTTCCATATGAGCTTGAGAAGAATGTGTGTTCTGGTGCTATTGGATAAGCTAGTCTATAAATGCCAATTAGATCCAGTTGATTAATGGTACTGTTCAGTTCAACTATATCCTTATTGATTTTCTGCCCACTGGATCTATCAATTATAGTATGAGAGATGTTGAAGTTTCCAATTGTAATAGTGGATTTGTTTATTTCTCCTGGCAGACCTGTCAGTTTTCTCTCAGGTATTTCGGCATGCTGTTGTTAGGTGCACACATCCTAACGATTGTTATGTCTTACTGGACACTTGACCCCTTTGTCGTTATGAAATGTCCCTTTTTATCATTGAAAATTTTCCTGCTCTGAAAATCTGTTTTATCTGAAATTAACATCTTATTGTAGATTTCTCTTAGTGTGTGCACACCCTTGGCTCAGGGCACTGGATGCAGCCCCATCTGTGCCTCCCCCAGAGCCATTGCTGAGGCAGTGTCTGGTCCTAAGGACCACTCAGAAGACATGTACATGAGGTCCATTGGCTGGCCCAGCTCCTTAGGAACAAAGGTGCACGGTGACACACTTCAGTGAGTCCCTCATGCCTCTCACCCAACAGAAGCTGCCCAGCAACTCAGGGACCCACAAGTCCTCTTTAAAATGTACAATACTGGGGGGGTGAAGAAGGGGCCGGCCTTCGAGCGACAGCGACGCAAGATGGCAGCCACCACGGGCTCGGGAGTAAAAGTCCCTCGCAATTTCCGACTGTTGGAAGAACTCGAAGAAGGCCAGAAAGGAGTAGGAGATGGCACAGTTAGCTGGGGTCTAGAAGATGACGAAGACATGACACTTACAAGATGGACAGGGATGATAATTGGGCCTCCAAGAACAATT